ACACCTTAAGTTCCAGCTCGTCAACTGCGTTCATCATCTAAGAATCTCCTTGTGATTCCTCATTTTAATTTGAAGACATACGGTGCAAGATCTTTTTCTGTAGCTGCCCCCACACTCTGGAACACTATGCCTTCCAATATCATAAACAGCTCCTCAGTGTCCGTTTTTAAAAACAAACTTAAAACTTTTCTTTTTAAAAAAGCGTTTTTCTAATTTTACAATTGTGTCACTCTTGTTAAGCGCTTTGAACTTTGAGGAAACTAGCGCTATAAAAATACTCTATTATTATTATTATTATTACGAAACTTTCGATGTGATTAAAATATTAATAAGGCATCACCTCTTTAACAGGTGGAGGATAGCAAAGAAACTGTACAGAGGTATTCATGTTAAGCATGGTTAACCCACATAGCCTGGTACTAACTAAAGCACCAATGATGGAGGCCGGTAGTCAGGGCATCTGTGGTGAAGTTGACCACGGGCCAACCTTTGGTAACAACTATCAAGGGTTTATCCTTCGCATCTCAGATAATGCTAGCATAATACCTAGTGAGGCTAAAGGTTCTTATTCATATCGTTTTCCTTCAGATGCCCACAAACGGTTGCTGGAGAATTTGGAAACACTGAACAGCATAACACTACATGTAACATAGTCTCCTCTACTAACTATGATGTAATATCCTTCTGGCGCTTTATACCGATTTGATCGTTTGAAGATGCGTGCCAAAAGACACAAAACTCACTAAAAAATTCAAATGTTCTTCTCTGGTTATGTCCTAAACTTACGTAGCTCGCAGAGTAATGTAACGTAAAGCAGTATAACGGATTTCGCAAGTTGGGCTGCAGAAAAAGGTTTAAACATTATTTTATTTGAATATCAGAACATCAGTCACATAAGAGGTAATTACCGCTGGCGCATTGCGTGATGACCTAATTGGAGTACTGAGAAAACAAACAGCTTAGCTGAATCACGGGTGCGCAGGCCAGCTTGCTAAAAAGTTTCCATGATTTCAGATGGAGTAGTCCTATTGCCTATTTACTAAAATCGTGAGAATATTACAACTTCGTTAGTCTTAAAGTAACCGGTTGTTTTCCCCACAATTCCTTTCACTAACGACCCGGTCGTTAGTGAAAGGTAGTGAGCTAAAGGCAGGTTAGTTAAGGAAGGTTTGTGAAAGGTTAGTTAAAGGTCAGTTAAGATAGTTAGTGAAAGGGAGTCTGCGAACTGGCACTTTTCTAACATCTTAAGGCGTTTCGCCAACTTCTCAGGGAAGTTTGTTTACGTCTCATCAATCGTTTCGTTGACGTATTACAAAAGGTTTAGTGACTCCATGGGCAGAAACTGAGCGACTTCTAATCAACTGAAAAGTCGTAAGGAAGTTAGGACGTTTCAGTACAAAATGAAAGTCGATCTGATACAAATATATAAGTCGATTCAATACAAATTGAAGACGTTTCGATATATCGACAAATTTGATTCGATAAAGTCGACAGACCGAAGACCTAAGACGAAAAACCGAAATATCGGGCGCTACACTTTGTGAGGAGTTGAAATACACGTTATTGACAGGGTCCTCGTCTTGAAGAAAAAGCTGGATCAAACTACGAAACGAAGACCTTCGCGGAAACGCTTTTCAGTCAGGCCACTAAATACATCACGATATCGCTCGCTACGCTTTGTGAGACGTCTATTACAAATTAGAAGTTACTGATTGGGTCTTCGTTCGAAAGAAAAAGCTGGGTTCAACTACTAAACGAAGTCCTTCCCCTGAACGCCTTGCCAGGCTTCATGTAGATAGGTGTTCGTTCTGAAGAACCTTACTATAGAAGGTATAGGGTCATTTATTTCGAAGGGGTTGCTTATGATTAAGCAACAGGTATTGACGGGTATTGACCAAGTAAAATCCTAGATTAAGTTAACCAGAAAATTATAACCTAAACGTCTGGTTGAGCACTTAAGCAATAAAATGTGAAGACATAAAACTTGGTATGTCTCTCAGGATGTTTTGTCTCTCAGGATGTTTTGTGTCTCAGGAAATGAAAAGGAAATGATCTGTTGGTCTTAAAAAGTTTCCCGGGACTGTCGGATTGAGTCACTTTAAAAAACTATTGCCTCCTTCATTCGTGGCTGGTTTCTGTAAGTCAAAACGAAGGCATTTCATTCCGACTAGTTCCCAATCTGCCTAATAATGAACAATTATTCGCCGAAGACAAGGTGAATATATTGTATGATAATCCCCGAGACCAAGTCTTTTAGATCATGGGAGAAATAACCGCTGGCAGATTGCGTGATGACCTTAGCGAACAGAAAGCTTATCCGAATTTTTATTTAGAGCAAGGGCCTCTATCCCATCGAAAGGGGGCGAGGGATTCAGAATTATAAACGTACTCGTTCATTCTTACGGCTTTCAAAGGAAGGAAAGTGAAACCGTTGGAGCATTGAAAATTCACTTCACGTGACCATTTCATTTCACTTTCAACAAATACATTTACAAAGCTCGGGTGGTCTCACTAGTCAGAACAGACTGTTGTCGTCCAACGGGTTTTACTCAGTTTGAAGCTAAAAGAGGCGAAAAAAAAAACTTGAGTTCAGCAACTGAGAAGCAAAAACAGATTGCAAAATGGAGAACGAACACGACCAGGGGATTCCCTCGATCTTAAAACTAAATGTCGGCGGCCATTACTTCACCACAAGTCCTCAAACACTAACCAAAGATCCAGACTCAATGCTGGCCATTATGTTCTCGGGGAAGTATGGCATGAAACGTGGGGAAGATGGCGCTATCTTCATTGACAGAGATGGAACCCACTTTCGGTTTATACTTAATTACCTTCGCACTGGAAAAATAACATTACCAGAAGGAGGAACAGCTCTGAAGGAATTGATGGAGGAGGCTGAATTTTACCAGATCCAGGGGATACTAGATGAATTAAAATCATTGACAGATAATTTGACGATCGTGAAACTGAATGTAGGCGGCCATCACTTTACAACAAGTCTCCAAACGCTGACCAAAGATCCAAATTCAAAGTTGGCCGCCATGTTTGCAGGCGAACATATAAACAACGGCACATTTATCATTGACAGAGATGGAACCCACTTCCGGTACATACTCAACTATCTTCGTGATGGAGATGCGAGTTTACCGGAGGAGGCATCTGCCCAGAAACAGCTCGAAGCCGAAGCAGAATTCTACGAGGTTAATGGGCTACTAATGAAATTGAGCATAATGTCGGAGATAATAACGAATCAGGAACACACAGCCAAACTGCTAAGTTTTCTACCTTTGCTTAACTCGGCGGGGAAGCGACACCACCTTCGTCTTTTGTTCCGAGCTTCCCGAGATGGCTTCTTCGCCAAAGCCTTTCACTCCATTTGTGACAACCAAGGACCAACTGTTACCATTGTGCAGAGTGGAGAATACATATTTGGAGGTTTTACAGACAAGTCTTGGAAGAGTAAGTGTGAATTGATATAATTTAGAAGAATGATACACGAAAACGAAAAGTCATGTGAAACATTCTGGTATAACACAACGAAATTTTTCGAGTCTTACGTAAATGTTTCACTTTGTTTTGTTGTCATTCTGATTTTTTGTAAAGTTATATGGTACAGCAGGGGGGTGGGAAGGGGGAGGGGAAGGGGGAGGGTATCTGGATCAATTTTTGCTGGGTACCCCATTTTAGTCTATTCTGTGGCCAAGTGTAAACCATCCAATCATAAACCCATCGTAGTCACTTTGGGCAAATGTAATCTCTTGCAATCCCAACTCACTTTCTGTTTATTCATCTGGCTGTGTTAAATTTGTTTTCAAATAGGTTATCCTTAAGTGAATTGATGCATTTGTTAAACTGAGTGTTAAGAACACTTCACTTTATCACCATTTCAAGAATGGAATGTAATACAAGCTAATTGTTAACCCGTAACCTCCCATGGCAAGGCTGTACTCGAGGAAAAATTGAAGGGAACCCAGTGCTCTGAAACTGTGACATCCAGAGTGCCCAGCATATGCTTTTTATTAAAAAAAAACTAAGATTCCTGAGTTGCCCAGGGGCCACTGGGCACTGCTAGACCACAGCCCTGTATGGGTAATAAAGAAAATAAAGAAAAATATAAATAAGTTAGATTATTAGTCGGTCCAATACCAAGTTCTCCTAACAAATATCCAAAAACTATATGACAGATGGCAAGGAGAATTGCTAATGAGATTTTTGGAGTGATAGTGTTAAATATTAAAACAACCACATGAAATACAGTGACTTTTAAACCATGATTCTTACCATTTTTTTTTTTTTGTAAATCCCTATTTACCAGAATTTTCTTACCCCCAAAATCTTGAAAACTTGTCATCCCATTGTAATAACTCTGTTGAAGATGCAACCATATTATAGCCAATCCAATCGTGAAAAAGTGTCCCTATCCAGAGTCATATCCTTATAAACCTATTACATATATCTTATTAACCAAGCGCGAGAGCTGTTCTGGGAGAATATCAGCCTGAGGTCCGTTCAAAAAAGACCGAGGGCCAATATTCTTCCAGTACGGTCCCGAGCAAGCTTGGTTAATAAGAGATTTATTACACGACTGAAGTTCAAAGAGACACAAGTGCGGTATCATTCGGGACCATTCGGGACAGTGCCCGGTCCAATACTTAGAGAATATTGGACTGGTAATAGAGCATTTTGATTGGTTGATTTTAGTTATTGGCCCTCTGACTGCCCGGGTCATGTAATAATAAAAAGTATCCCCACCTGTTGGAAGGGTTAAGTAGGCATATACTCATCTCTATATTCTACGATCTTTGATCTCTTTATTTCTTTTTAAATTATTTGATCTTTTTACAAAAAATAAAAGTGAAATAGTTTGCCCACAAATAGCTAGAAGGCCAATTGGGACAGGGCAAGACAATTACGTGAAGAACATAAATCATCTAGTATCTAAGCACAAGAAGTCATTATTTACACAGTCACACAGTCACAGAGTCGCACAGAAAAAGATAAGAAGACATTTAAACTTAGAAGGTGTATCTACTTACTATTACTATTTTAATGATCATGGGGAGGCAAGTCTACATTTTTTTTTAATGAGGGGCATTCTTTCATTAACAGATGAAGGTGATTTTGTGAGATGTTCAAAAGCATTCTTGTTCAGTCTGGTCAACCCACAGGGCCTACAACCAGTTAAAATGCCAATTAATTCTGAGGGCAAAAATTATGGCATCTGCTGTTACAGTGAGTACGGACCAACATTTGGTAAAGGACTTTATGGTGGTTATGCCTTAAAAATTGCAGACCATGCAAATGTATGTACCAGTGACTTTGGTATTAGTGACACCTATGACTTTCAGCAAGATTTCCGAACTTTTTTTACAGGGAAAACACAATTTCTTGTGACTGATTATGAAGTATTTTCACTTGTGAACTAGCATGTAACAAATGGTGGCTGGGGTATTTATTTTAACCCTTTGACTCCTAGTAGTGATTAGTATGTAAGTTCTCCTTACAATATCACCCCTGAATCACACATTAACGTCACAAGAATAAAGGAAATGATCACAAACTAAAGAAATTCTTGATTTTTAACCCTTTATCTCCCATGAGTGACCAAGACAGAATTTCTCATTAATACATCAATTCAACATCAAGCAGACAAGTGGTAAGAATTAAGAAAAATACCAACTAGGGGATTATTAGTTGATCCAAGACCAAAAGGGTTGAAGAAATTCTCTTCATTAGAACCTCAGGAAATGCTTAGAGAACGATATAAAGAATATGCACATTCATGTTAAGGTAAAGGTTAACTTTGCCTTTATATAGTGCCTCTGTTAGTGTAGGGGTAGATAAAAGAGAACGGAAGAGTTGAGTTATAAGAAAAGGTGTAGAAAATTTTATTTAGATAAATATTAAAATTATAATAATAATGTTAATAATAATAATGGTTAATTAACAGATCCACTGGTTGGCTCTTCCCTGTTAAGGTTGTAGTTTTTACGTCATAATAATGATCGAGTATTTGACTTTTCAACTCATAGCATACAGGTATTCTACTTCATGCAATAATGCAGGCAAGCCTACTATGGACCTGACGTCTTCATGTTGCTATATTTAAGGTCTTAGTTTGCTGAACCATTAACCCTTGCATGATTGACCAAGACAGAATTTCTCCTCACAATAAAAATACAATATCAATTAGAAAAGTGATGAGAATTAAGAAAAACACCACAAGGGGATTATTATTTGATCCAATTAACCACATTTTCACATCCAATGTTATAAGAATTGTATGGCACACAGTATGAAGAATAAGTAATAAGATCTTGGGGTCTAAGGGCTAAAAGATATATCATGGGCAAAGAAGGAAAGGAAGTGACCAAGCTACTGTACCCCAGATTTATACAGAGGAATGAAAAAGAACTCATAATCAATGTACTAAGTTTGGCAGTGACCATTTTAATTTTTGTTTTAATGCTCTGTTGTTAAGAGGTGCAACTGAACTTAAATCATTTATCAAATACTTTCAGAAACTGTTCAAAGCATGATGATGTCACCATTTTTAAAAATTTATTACCGTCCCATTACAGATCTTGGATCCAATCTTCATGCAAATCAACATGTTAACCATTTGACTCTCAGAAGTGATTAACATGTAACTTCTCCTTATAATATCCATACGTTATCCAGCAAACAGGTAATGAGAATACTCAAACTTAGCAGGTAGAAGTTGTTATCTTGATCTAACATCAAATTCTGGTAACTAATTTACAGGGAAATGAGTAGCAACATGAGGGGAGAATTAACTATCAGATCTTGGGGATTAAAGGGTCAAAGAGGAAGTGTTGCTTTTCATTGTAATCTTCTATGCTTGGATGTGTGTGCCATTTGTGCCTTCACTGCAAGTTTCAGTTGGTAGTCCTTTTTTATTCTCAGAATGTATGTCGAAGGCAATAGGTTTAGCATTTCTGAGTACACCTGTAACTTCTAAACTCCCTTATGAAATCCTTTATTTTTTCAAAAGTGCCAACAGTGACGCAATTTTTTTCCCTTTCTTAGTGGAAGCATGCATAATTCAATATTGTGATGTGCTTCTTAATTACAAACATGGGGAATTGGCACCAAGTCAGTATTGCATCATAATTGAGCAAGCCAGCTCAAGCTAGTACAAGTAATTTAACATCTGCAGATTATTGTATGTACTTATGCTACAAGTTGGTTTTCCTATCACTAATAAAAGTACAGTTATGTAAGGTATGAAAGAGATTGCTTAGGGATTTAAGTTCAGTTGCTTAATTTCTTAGCTTGCCCAGCTCCTGTGTGATATACCTCATTTGCACTCTTAGAATTTATTTTTCTTTCCCTCCCATCTCTCCTAGTATTTCACTGTGTTGGTCTTTTGTATCTGTTTGAGTTTTGTATCAGACAGCCTCTCTATTTAGTGGTATATTTGAGTGTATTATTTATGTTTAGCTTAGTTTTTTTAAAAAGATTTTTCTTATTTGTGAAAATAACTTGTTGGTTAGTAACCTTGTAATAATAAAGGCTTCCTTTGTCTTAAACTTTGCTTGTAGTAATGTTGTTATGTGGTTTAGATGCAATGAAAACTGTGATTTTTTAAAATTCATCACAGTATTTGCAAATCAGAGTAAATTAATCAAAATTTTGTTAAACCTGAGTACATTTTAAAGGTAAATTTGGTGTGGTACTCACACTGTTCAGGAAAATATAATTTGTTCTTTTGATTTTTGAGAAGATGTCATTCTTGCTGATTTGTAAAGTGCCTTAAGCAGGACATAAAAATATTCCTTGGAACATGACAAGGGAAGCTTACTCCAAATAAAAGGGTTTTAATATCATCCTCCAAGGTCTTCAACTTCAAACACAATCCTCTTTATTAAGGACGGGGTAATACTTTGACAAATTAGAGCAAATGATAGATGTCTCATCTCATTTTGTCTTTTGGGTCAAGCTTTTTACGAAGAATTAATCAGCTTCAATGTGGCCTGGAATTGTAAACATAACCTCGTATGACAAACGTTTTCATTCGACGAAAGCTCGTTCAGGTCACCCTAGGAACCTGTCCTGACTTATCACCCGGGGGGAGGGGGGTGAAGGATTTTAGAGGGAGGAGGAGGGATGGAAGGGAATGATCAGTCGTATCCAAGGTTGGGACTTTCGACTGCCAGTGAGAGGGATCATAAATATATTACATCGCTTCAGGGATATCAAGTAAATTTTATCGTGACACAACTAAAATCCTTTATAACCCCCCTCCACCCCCAAGCGATAAATAATACAGTGGAACCTCGATTTAACGAAGTGCCAAGGGACTGGGGAAATTGGTTCGTTATTTCGAGGGTTNAGAGCTTGATTCTGTAGTCTTTCCAACCTATCCGCCATTGTTTTTGGGCAGTCAAGCCACACGATAGAGCCATAATCAAGGATAGGTAGTAGGGTCTGCTTTAGGGAGACACTCATCATTTCACGCTAGTTTGGTCAGAAAACTGCAAGCAAGAGTGACTTCAAGCCTTGCCAAGGTAATTTACTATACACTTACAAAAACCTGTTTTTAGATCTGAAAAGAAAGCAAAGAACATGCAGCATGGTCCAGGCATTCCCTCGATTGTGAAACTAAATGTCGGCGGTCACTACTTTACCACAAGTCTTCGAACACTGACCAAAGATCCAAACTCGATGCTGGCCGTCATGTTTGCAGGGAAGTTTGAAATGAAACCTTGTGAAGACGGCGCTTTCTTTATTGACCGAGATGGAACTCACTTCCGGTTTATACTGAATTATCTTCGATTAGGAAAATTAACTTTACCAGATGGAGCGACATTTTTAAAAGAACTTGCCGAAGAAGCTGAGTTTTACCAAATCCAAGGGTTACTGGATAAGTTAAAATTGATGGAAGATAGTTTGACGAGCGTGAAACTGAATGTTGGCGGCCATCTTTTCACAACAAGTCTCCAAACACTGACCAAAGATCCAAAATCAAGGTTGGCAGCCATGATTACAGAGGGGTATGCTGAAAACGGGACACTGTTCTTCGACAGGGATGGAAAACACTTCCGGTCTATACTCAATTATCTGAGGAACGGAGAGCTAGTCTTACCGGATGATGCAAAATCTGTTAAACAAGTTGAAACTGAAGCGCAGTTCTATCAGATTGAAGGGATACTAATTAGGTTGAGCCTATTTTCGGAGATTCTCACCAATGAGGAACACATCACCATGCTGCTGAGTTGGTTGCCTTTCCATGACGCGGGAATGAAGGGACATCCCCTCCGTCTTCTGTACCGTGCTTCTCAAGAAGGCTTCGCAGCCGAATGCTTTCACTCCAGATGTGACAACAAGGGGCCCACTCTCACCATTGTGAAGAGTGGGAAAAATGTATTTGGAGGTTTCACGGAACAGTCTTGGAAAAGTAAGTAGTAAATTAACTTAATCGGGTAGAAGGTAGTAGCTAATTATTTGAAAAAAACTGGAAAGTTCAGTTAAAATTTTGGCGTGACACAAAGGAAACGTCGGGTTCACTTCTTCGTGACTGAAATACTAGTTGTTTGTTCTCAGCTGTCAGGGTTAATAAAGAATTTTTCCAAATTTCTCCTAAGCTGGTCGCCGTTCGCTTGTCAAAACGTTTCCGCAGACAGACATTTTCGAGGCCCGAAATGCTACTGATAGACTACTTCAGGTATGCTTTAACACAAGAGAATATCACCTCTTGTAAACGCCAGGGAGAAGAACTTACAACCGGCTTTTTATTATTGTGAGAATTATTATTATTGTAATTAAAGTAAGAGTGAAATGATAAGTACGGTTACCAAACCGTGATTGTAACGTTATTCG